TTCATCGTATTTTACTCCAGTATGTACTTTTAATTACACTTTATCAAACCAGTTGATTTCTTTCCGAAGTTGTTTTAGACAGTACAGTGCTATTTTTCACATAAACACGTCCCAATAAAAAAAAAAAACAGGCCTTTTTTTGCAGGCCGGAATTAGAATATCGCTACAATGAATGGGGATCACGACACAAAGTAAAGTTCCTCGTCTGTCAAAATCTGCTGTAAAAAAGGTAATCATGCCAACAAAAGCTCAAACTTTGGCACAGTGCTGTGCAGTCCACGATTTCAATGGCGCACACCACACACGCACACACACACACACACACACACAAGCGGCGAGGACACCCACCACCGCCATTAACTAAAGAGCTCCGTGCAATTTATTAAACACGGCGGATGAAAGAAATATAATTTAATAATTGAGCGTCCGGGGGTGAGGGGGGGGATAAGGAAAATAGAGGCTCCAAGAAAGCACACACACACACACACACAAGCGGCGAGGACACCCACCACCGCCATTAACTAAAGAGCTCCGTGCAATTTATTAAACACGGCGGATGAAAGAAATATAATTTAATAATTGAGCGTCCGGGGGTGAGGGGGGGGATAAGGAAAATAGAGGCTCCAAGAAAAGAGGCATTGTGATCTACTTCGCTTCGCCACACGCCACCGACAAAGAAATGACCATTAAATGTAGCTTTGAAATAAATGGGGCCCAATTACAGTGATGGCAGGGACGCTCTAATGAAGCTTTTGTCAATGCAGACAAACATGGCGCAGGGAGGAAAGGCAGGTGAAGTCACCCCCCCGCCCCCGACCCCCAAAAAAAGAGCCCTTTTTTGATGGAAGTTTCAGCAAAGATATGTCACGCGCAGGATGTATTTTGAGAACAAAATCACCCAAACAATTAAAACCGAAACAGGCTGGAACATTAGCGGGCAATCATTAACACAGAGGTCGCTCAGTTACATTAGCGGCGAGGTGTTCAGGGAAGAAGTCGCGTTAAATGGCTTGAGGAGAGTTGTTTTTTTTTTTTTAATGCAGTCCTGTGGTCGTTGTCATTTTAATTAGCGGTTCACAGTGTAGCGGCTCAAATTCAGGTGACTTCGGTGCCTCTCCACAACAGTGAGTGCTTCTGACCCCTTGCACGGCACTGACGCACCTTAACTGATGTTTTTGTTCCAGCTTTTTCTCTTGGGGTACTTTGAGACCACAACAAGTGACTGAAAACCCAAGATTATTATTCTTTTTTTAGATTTAAATCTTTTTCTCCTGTATTACCTGAATGCATTTTTTTTTTCAGATAAAACGGAGAATTTTGGGAACATCGGCGTCGCTAACAATCCTCCACTAATCCGTCAGCACAGTCAAAATGACAATAAATAGTTCTATGACAAAAACTTTCTCTTCCATAAATGTAAAATATTACACGGGTTGTCGTTTTCTTATGCCAATGTGGAATCTCAAATTGAAAATGGCTTATGCTTGTTACATTTCTGTTGGCTGCACTCCTTCCATCCTTCCATCCATCCATCCATTTTCCGATCCGCTTTATCTTGCCAAGAGTCGCGGGGCGTGCTGGAGCCTATCCCAGCTGTCTTCAGGCAATAGGCGGGGAACACCCTGAACTGGTCGCCAGCCAATCGCAGGGCACACAGAGACGAACAACCGTCCGCGCTCACACTCACAATTAGGGACTATTTCTAGTGTTCAATCAGCCTGCCATGCATGTTTTTGGAATGTGGGAGGACACCGGAGTACCCGGAGAAAACCCACGCAGGCACGGGGAAAACATGCAAACTCCACACAGGAAGGCCGAAGCCGGGATCGAACCCGGTACCTCTGCACTGTGAGGTCGACACGATAATCACTGGAGTACCGGCCGCCCGCAGTGCCTCCAGTACATATGAAATTCCGATTTTTTCTAGGGGATCCAATCGGATTGCAGCCTCTGTGTTGCCATGTCAGTCTAATCTGCCCAGGGCCTTCAGAATCCCGAGAAAAATCTAAAGTGAAGACTGACTGTCGAACGGATAGCAGTGTATTATTTTTTTTGAAAAAGAAATGTGGTGATAGTACGACAAGCGGAGAACCTGTTGTCATCCTCAAGTCCAGGAAGCAAGTTGTCGCGCTAGTAGACGTCCACCCTAACGTGACAGCCTACCTGTTTTTGCAGATGCTCTTTTTGTTGTAAAAGGTCACTTCTGGGAATTGATCAGGCCCAGGAAACGAGCAGACCTTCCTCATAGATGCTTTCGGACGCAACAGCTTGTCCGGGGCTAAAGGTTAAGGCCACAAGTGTCTGTGGAGACCCAGACTGAGGTCACAAGGTCTCAGTCAGGGTCAGGAGCACAGATGACCCAAAACTCTGAAGCTGCCCCTCCACTCTTGGCTCTTCTCAAAATCTCAAATCTCACACTCATTGAAGACTCCTTCTTAGTGACGTACGATTTCAAACTTTCTCAATGTCCTGGCATTGTAAAACCGCTTCGAGATTATTTTCTTTTTTTTTTAAGCCCCTTTTGGATGCACCACCACAGTACTTCACAATGTGTTGCGTTTTATTTGCAGGACAATACACGTGTGCTTCCTTTCTTTGGAAACAACACAGCGCGTTTTGATATAGGTATGAAGCATCCGGGGAAGAACGCGACATTTGGGGACATTGAGTCTCAGCGACTTTCATTCAGCAGTCAAGTCACAATAAGCAGATGGATGCAAATGAAAAAAAAAAAAAAAACAACAACAGCATGGAAACATGGACTTTCCAGACTGGCCCTAAACGGATACATTTTGCCCCGAAAATACGAGGCAGGGCGAGTATATTTTTCATCCACCCGGTAAAACTGTGGACACTACAGAGCCTTCAGCGAAGCTCACTTGCGTGGTTTTGTTATGTGGGAGATCTCCGGAGTGACTGGAGAAGAGATTTAAAAAGCAGAATCTCAATACTGCAAGAGAACTCGTCTACCTTTCACCCTTGTTGGATCTCATTCCATTTTTTTTCCATCCACATTTCTCCAACTAACACAAAGCAAGGCGAATAAATTGTACTCACAAACAATTTAGCCGGCCTCGGCTCTTCCTCATTTATATTCACGCTAACTTCCGCCACCAGGAATGACGCTGATTAATTGCCTCTTGTTTTGGAACGTGGGCTTGAAAGTATTTGTTAATTCCCAATTAGACCGCTGGGCTCGTTTGCTCCCGAGCCGCTTGCTTTTGTCACGTTGCGTACTAGGCAGAAGGAGAGAGCTGCTTCGTACGCAACGGAGCGAACAAGAATAGGTGGATCCCCGAAATAGCAGGCACTGAACAAGGTCTTGTCTATCAAATAATATTTATTACAAACGAAAAAACACCGTCAAAAGGAAAACACAAAACGCTGGTCAAAACGAGAACCAGGAATTAATGTAACGTGAGGAAAAGAAAGCGCTTGCAAAAAACGGCAAGGAAAAGATAAGACAATTTACTTCGAATAACTACGCGTTAAAGAGGATCCCACTGGGATGGCGAAATGGTCGCGAATAGCAATAGAGTGCGAGATACGAAATACGAGCATGGGCAATAGCAGTGGCACGGCAAGCAATACTCCGGCAATGAGTTGACAGCCGGAGCGCCTACATGTAGCAGGTGTAATCACAAACAAATGCACAACAGGTGTGCAGGTGGCAGAGTGAGTGCCTGCCACCTGCTGTCGAATACGGGACATGACAGCTTTCGGCGACGCTTTGTGTCGGGCAGGCCCATTGGCCGGCGTTGACAACCATAAGGAAGCTCGCGGGAGAGGAGGAATACTCGTTTGGCTGCGCCATTAACATGAGGCTTTAATTTAGACGTGGTCATGTCAATAGTTCAACACAACAAGTACGCGGCGCTCTCGCCAGTAATGGACGTCGCCTTTCGTCTGTTGTGAACATCTTGCTAATGTGTGCGCTTATCTCCAGTCATGTCGAAGACACTGTGTGTGTGTGTGTGTGTGTGTGCGTGTATACATGTATGTTTTTTTTTTTTTGTCCTTCAGCATTTTATGCCTCTTCACTGCTTTGTTACAAGCACTCGAACAGCATTAACAGCTCACTCCTCCATTTGGCCAAGACTTGGATTGTCTCTAACTCATTTACCACCATCACAGGATCAATGCTTGAGGCGCACACGAGTGGGTTGGATCCACGGGGAAGAAGCTAAAAAAAAAAAGGAGAGAATGCTTTCATGTCCTGATGTGATCTCTTCAAATGGGACCTGGAACCTGGGAGTGAAATATTGTTTTGCAGTGTGTGTATATACCACACACACACACACACACACACACACACACACACACACGCTTTTTTTTTCTTTTCTTTTTTTTAATGTTTTTATCACAGGATGAGAGAAGCTCGTGTATGCGTACGGAAACGCAAAAACTGGTCTTGAGAGGTTTTGCAAAAGAACTAGGCTTGTTCACATCAAAAGAATCCAAACCTTGATCATCGTCTCTTTAAGAACTATGGATGGTGCTGCACATAGTTCACTTTTAAGAGGCCTTTCAGCGTGTCACTCCAATCTGTCTGACGAAGTAGTTGTGCCAGAGAAGTGAAGGTTTTACGAGGGTCCCAATTTACGACCTGAGATTATACGCGTTTTATGAATACTTGGTCAATGGTACATTTCAAATGAAAAGTCAAATGGAGGAATTTTGTACTATCGAGGGATGGACAAATAGCAGAAACAAATAGTAGACATTTGTGTTTTTGTTAACACCCAAATTTCTTCTTTCAAAGCCTGTAGGTATGACTCCGCCTCCTTGTCCGAACGCCCAACTTTGTCCGCATCGCTTTCAACTTGAGAGCTTGTTCAAATACATTGTCATCAGATGTTCCAGGAAGTGAAAAATACAAACTATTCAATGGAATGTTGATGCCGGACTCTCCCAGTAAATCCATCCAATTCCACGGTTTCGGCTTTATGTGGACTCCGAGCGCCAGGCCCAAGAAGACGCGCGCATGTGAGGAGAAATGACATCTGGTGTGAATAAGACTGAAGAGGCTCGCTATCATCTGCGCTGCCACCTTGCCTTAACCTCTTTTATGTCTCAAGTGCTGCGGACTGTGCAAAATCTATTAGCGGCCTTTTAGAATTACAATTGCGCTATCCAAGGTTTTGTTCGGGTAATCCGCGGGAGCGCGTCCAACAACGCCCGCCCGTTCTTCGTGAAAAGCATTGTGCCTCGTGTACAAATGGACACTTGTTTATTTCATCGCGCACTTTTCATCTATATGGAAATGAAACGATGCTCTCGCCGCCCTTGTTTGCTTGTTTGTGTCGTCCGCTAAGGACAATGAAAGGAAAATAAGAATTGCTCGCGCGCGCCGGGAACTTTTGTCCAGGCTCTCGTGACATGATGCCGGCCGGGCCGAAAAGGAGAGGAGCGAGACGGCTGAAATTTCTATTGGACGGAGCTTTCTTGAAGGACCGTCGCCACGTTTGTGCTTGTATGTACGGAAGAGGGGATTTGGATCTGCGTCGCCGTAGCATGCTAAAATAAGAAACTGGACAAATACCACAATAAGGAAAATTTGAATGATTAGGGCAAAGTATGAGCGGCACGGAAGTCTGGTGGTTACCTCATCCGCCTCGCCGTTTTGAGGTTGTGGGTTCAAATGCCGACCATCCTGTGTTAAGTTTGCGTCTGGTCAGCCCGGTGTGCCAGTGGTTAGCGCGTCGACCTCACAGTGCAGAGGTACAGGGTTCGATTCCGGCCTCCCTGTGTGGACTTTGCATGTTCTCCCCGGGCCTGCGTGCGTTTTCTCCGGGTTTTCCGGTTTCCTCCCACATTCCAAAAACATGCATGGCAGGCTGATTGAACACTCAAAATTGTCCCGAGGTGTGAGTATGAGCACATGGTTGTTCGTCTCTCTGTGCCCTGCGATTGGCTGGCAATCGGTTCAGGGTGTCCTCCGCCTACTGCCCGAAGATGGCTAGGATAGGCTCCAGCACCCACCGCGACCCTAGTGAGGATCAAGCGGTTCGGAAAATGAATGAATGAATATTTTTCACACTTTGTTTTTGTGTAGCCCGCTGCGATCTCACACTTCGATTTTTTTTTTTTGTCTTCATTTCGGCAGGTACGCATATTTTATCTGCCGGGGAGATGGACAATGTGACTTTCGGCTTCACCTCCACCGTCCTCGCCGGTACTTCCGGCTTCCAGCGAGGGGACAAAGAACTCGTTGTTCATCGGCCGGTGCCTGATGCCACTGGGGAAGTCAAGGCGGGGAGAGTTAGTCGAAGGCAGCAGGAACAGAGCTCCGCCAAATACAAGGTAACGAGGGAAAACCAACCCCGCCGGGAATTATCCGGACACTGGAGACACAGTGTTCGCTGGACGGCAGATCAATGGCTCTCTCTCTGGGGAGGAGGAAGGAAGGTGGAGGAGGAGCAGGATATGTCCCCCACTGTCCACCCCTCCAAAAAAAAAAAAAAAGTGTGCCGCGCTGTTTCCAAATTTCCCCCTTGGAAAAAAAAAAATGCCGCAGAGGGTCTTGTTACCTGTTCAGATGTTTGAGTTTCAATGTCCACTTGTCTATTTGGACAGGAGTTACCTGAACACACCTAGCAAGAATCCCACTTTGCAAACGCAAACTCAGATTGCAATCTAATAGACTTGAACAACAAGTGTCTGTGCTCTTATCGGTGATCTTAAAATGTAGGGCCTACATCCAGTTGCGGGGAGGCGGGGGCACTGGTTTTAAGGGACACAAGAGTTACTCTACTTAAACTAGTGCGACAACTACAAGAAGAGCAGATCCCGGCTTATCGCGGGGGGGTAAAAAAAAAAAAAAAAAAAAAATGCTCCGCAATGGAGAACAGGGCATGTCCCTTCTGGATTTTTTGGAGTCCGTGGCCGAATCCAATATTTGGCAGAATAAAAATCCGAGAACCAATTCATCGTCAAATGAATAAAAAAATATATCCATAATTAATAAAATAACTTATTTTCTTTATCTTATGTTGATATGTGAAAAATTTGTCACCTTCTCAAATAATGGCCGAAGATATACATTTTTTGTTGAAAACACAAAAAACAAAAACTGAACCAAATACTGATGACGTTATATGTATTGCTAATTGCATTTCAAGAGAGCATCTATTTAACTAAGGATGTTGCTGATTTTAGCAGAGGTGGCACACAGCCTAATTTTTGTCCAAATACGACTTTGGCTACTATTTTAACAGCGTGATGAATAATTTAAAAACTGGCAAAATGGGGCTGATTTTCAATTTTTTAATTAGATTTTTTTGGGCCGATTTTGAAAGAATAGATCTAATTAAGAAGTCTTGATGGTTCGTTTAGTGTCACGGGATTTCATATTGTGACGTTCTGTTTATCTTTCGGGTTTACCGGGTTGGGTTGGGGAACTTTATTTTGAAGGTTTCCTCATCTGACGAATGCTGGAGTGGCAGACCAAACTGTCAGCAAGGTAAGGGAAATCTTTCCGAACAAAAGAAATCCAAAACCGACCTTCAAGGTTCTTTCTGACTCAACAGTTGCCGTTTATTTTTGAAATCTTGAATCGGGTCGGCCCCTCCACCCCACTGAAACACCTTTGCACCCCTGCAATACGCCGCGTTCCGAGCAAATGTCAGCACCCGTCGTCTTTTGAGCGGGCGGCAACCCACTTGCACGCCATATTGATCCGCTCCCTTTGTGCGGCCTCGTCAGCCCTTGCGCTAATTAGTGTCGTTCCATTAGCGAGGTTTGCCCATTAAAAGTCAACGCTCGCCTTCTTTTCAGCAAACACTCACTTGGCTTTGTTTTTTTTTTTTTTTCCTTCCTTCTTTCAAAAGCATAACAAGGGAATGGTGCAAAATATGTGCTAAAACGCAGGCCGCATAAAGTGGGTGTTTAAATGTATTAATAAAAGGCTTGTAGGTTTAATTAACACCCCGGATAGCTGCCGGCTTTGTTTCCGCGCTGCAAATGATCATCTTTAGAAAAGACCCCAGCTATCACTTGGTCTCGGTTGTTAAAAAGGTGCTTGGCAGACACAGACCTTTTCTTTCCTTTCGTTTTTTTTGTTTTGTTTTGTTTTGTTTTTTTCATGATTAGTCTTTTCGAAGCTTCAAAGAAGGCATGCCTTCCTTTTGTCCACTTTGGAGCTATACAGCCTGGCTTCATGCATCTTGTTGTTGAGAATGTGCTTTTTTTTTTTTTTTAAATTGGAAAATAATACTTGTAAGCGTTTGATGACCACGAAAACAGTTTGATGATATCATACTTTGAATATGCAGCGGCTCAAGACTGAAAGTGGATGGTTATTGATTTATGTTTGTATTTATTTATTTATTTTTAGTAATTTGGGAAGACGATGTTACCACAGTTCAGACAATTTTTTCCCTTACACTACCAATACCGCGGCCCAGAGTACTGTTCGATATCGATCCGATACGATATCAACAGAAATGATACCTGCTTTTATTTATTTTTGAATAGGAAAAGTTAGAAGAGACTTGATCAAGTGATACTACTCAAACAAGGAGAATAATCAATAACAGTAAGAGAGAATATGACCCATTTATTGCAAACATTTGGGTTACGGCACTTGAATAACATTAATTTAAAAATACATTCGGAATCAGTTTATTTACATTCACATTGCTGGGTAGAAGAGCGGCAGCAGATTCTGGAATGGTACTACTTCTATATGAGTGCTAATACTGCAGATTTTTAGATGTAGACCGATATAAATCCAAACTATTTTTTTGGGGGGCTGATATCGAACCGATATCCAATATCAATATCGGATGGGAACACGACTAATAGTCAGTTGCTTTTGTGAAGTACTGAATTGATGTTGTCATTTTAATCAATGACTGCATCATAAATAAGCACTTTTTTTTCCAAATGAAACGAGCAGTCTTGATTTATGTTTGTATTTATTTATTTATTTTTAGTCATTTGGGAAGACGATGTCACCACAGTTCAGACAATTTTTTCCCTTACACTACAGATACCGTGGCCCAGAGTACTGTTCGATATCGATGCGATACGATATCAACAGAAATGATACCTGCTTTAATTTATTTTTGAATATGAAAAGTTAGAAGAGACTTGATCAAGTGATACTATTCAAACAAGGAGAATAATCAACAACAGTAAGAGAGAATATGACCCATTTATTGCAAACATTTGGGTTACGGCACTTGAATAACATTAATTTAAAAATACATTCGGAATCAGTTTTTTTTTACATTCACATTGCTGGGTAGAAGAGCGGCAGCGGATTCTAGAATGGTACTACTATATGAGTGCTAATACTGCAGATTTTCGGATGTAGACCGATATAAATCCAAACTATTTTTTTGGGGGGCTGATATCGAACCGATATCCAATATCAATATCGGATGGGAACACGACTAATAGTCAGTTGCTTTTGTGAAGTACTGAATTGATGTTGTCATTTTAATCAATGACTGCATCATAAATAAGCACTTTTTTTTCCAAATGAAACGAGCAGTCGAACATGCATTTGGGGGCGGCGATGTTTTGATATTGGTGCTCAGCGGTGTATGATAGCAAGTTGTAATACCAACTTCAACAATGTGGTGATTGATAACTCAAGTGAAATGGCGTTTTTATTGATATCCTGAAAAGTTAGAAGAGACTTGATCAAGTGATACTATTCAAACAAGGAGAATAATCAACAACAGTAAGAGAGAATATGACCCATTTATTGCAAACATTTGGGTTACGGCACTTGAATAACATTAATTTAAAAATACATTCGGAATCAGTTTTTTTTTACATTCACATTGCTGGGTAGAAGAGCGGCAGCGGATTCTAGAATGGTACTACTATATGAGTGCTAATACTGCAGATTTTCGGATGTAGACCGATATAAATCCAAACTATTTTTGTGGGGGGGGCTGATATCGAACCGATATCCAATATCAATATCGGATGGGAACACGACTAATAGTCAGTTGCTTTTGTGAAGTACTAAATTGATGTCATTTTAATCAATGACTGCGTCATAAATAAGCACTTTTTTTTTCCAAATGAAACGAGCAGTTGAACATGCATTTGGGGGCGGCGATGTTTTGATATTGGTGCTCAGCGGTGTATGATAGCAAGTTGTAATACCAACTTCAACAATGTGGTGATTGATAACTCAAGTGAAATGGCGTTTTTATTGAAGTGGCCGGTTTATTGCAAATGCAAAATTTGTCAGGAAGGACATGTCTGAGGTCCGATTCTGTTGGACCACACCGAGACACAAGTGTCTCCCCAAACAGAGCACCTGCTCGCCCACACATACTGGAGAAGTGTCCACTGTATCTGCTTGTTTACTGACATGGTAAAGGTATTATGTCTGTGTTGAGGACCCGACAGCACCGGGCACGTATTGTCCCTCCGCCGATACGAATCGCGAAACGACCGGAGTGCCAGGATAACCCTCTTCCCATCTCGCCCCTTACGCCTTTCATCATGCGTGTCACGTTGACCCGTCTGACCATCAGCGGCCGGCTAAGAGAGGGGGGGGACGAGCTCGCCCAAATAAAGTGCTCGCCCTGAGCCATTATGATTAACCATCAGCAGTTTTTGTGTAATCACCAGCGCGCGGTCCAACGCGGACGGACAGCGCCGCGGAGGGAAATCAATCACATTATATTACTGTGGATGTGCTTTATTGACCTCTGTTGGTGTTCACACATTTCAGACTTGATTTGTATCTACTGGCGGCCGTTTAGAACAGCGCGGGCAATTTGGGCAACCGTGGAAAAACAGGGCAGCTTTTTATCAAGCCCAAAGCTCATGCTTATGGATTGAGTGCTATTTAGGGAAGGGAGGGGCCGGGGGGGAGAAAAAAAAAAGAGCAAGCCTGTTTAGATGCACTTCCTGCATATATTTTATGAAGTAGCCTCAAGCGGTGCCCTCATTCTGGCCCATCGCATGATATTTGATGTTTGGACTAATGGCCAGTTTGGACACTTTTAAAACGAATGCAGAGCTACGTCATGGGATCGGGATTGTTATTGTTGAGTTAGCCGCCATCGCACTGCGCAGTGGGACGAGTGCGCTGCTTTCCGATGTCACAGAAAGTTCCTTTTTTCGATTCTGTCATCACATTGTTCCGCTTTGCCATCACGGCTACACTTCTGTAGCTGGCGTGCAGAAAAAGTGTTTTTTTTGTTGAGCAGGAGAAACAGTCAAACGCATGAATACAAAATGAAAACACTGACAAGGAGCATGGAGGAGATGCTAAAATGGACTCACTGCATGCATTGGAAACTGCCAAAGTGACTAGCTCCAGGCTCCTGAATCACTCATTAAGCTCGCCTATGGGCGTAATTACTTGAGTCATTTTTTTTAACATTTCAGCAACCAAGAAAGTGCACTTCCCTTGATTCAACCTTTGCCGATCACCACGACTGGGATGACTGACAATCTAAATCGACCAAAAAAACCCCCCAAAAAATGGAATTTTAGCAAGCACTTTGTATTGATTCTGTGCCAGTAAAAACGACCTAAAAATGATATCACCATTTTTCGAAACAACCTGAATGTATGCCACCGCATACGTAATTACATTTGTCACTCACGACTTCATCTGAGCTGCAGCAATGTCAAGCTAACAGTCCCGAACTCAAACTCTACAATTCTGAATTTTACTTATTTATTTTTCTAAATCTCGCTGTACTTTATGGATTAAAAAGGGAGGGCGTCCAGGACGACACAAAGAGCACAGTGTGAAATCCCCTTTATCCCAAGCAGGCGGCAGTAAATAAGACTTGGTCGTCTCATTACGGCAGCGCCAAGCATCGGGCGCTTTATTCATCCCGAACGCATTGTATGCATGGAAAGGTTAAGAGTAGTTATGACAAAAGTAATGTATTATTAAAATACCTTTTGCAGTGAAGCACCTTCTGATATATTTTTCTTGGCTGATGAAAGCAGGATTGGGTGGAATCGCCCCCCCCCCCCGCGTCTTCTTTATTCACCCTCTTCAACGATTTATGCGGCAAGAGTGAAGAGCTCGTCGGCGAGCAGGCCGTAAACATTTTGTTATAGTGGGAACTATCTCTTATTACTGGTTTTTCATTAGAAAAAGAATCCTTTGGGAAGCATTCAAAGCATTTGGTGGGCTGCGGCGAGGGGCGGGGGGCGGCGGCGGCGAGCGGCTGAAGACGCTTCACAATGTTCTCCCTCTCACCCTCTCTGTACCTGAATCCTTTCTCTTTTTGATGCTGTTAAGGGAGTAATTGAGTGCAGAAAATGGCTTGGCTTATTTAGACTGAGTCTGATCCTGAAATGATTAAAGCTAAAGGGCTTTGAGGTATTCAAGGAGAGAATGGCGGAAGGGAACATGGTTAATGCTTTCCCCCATTTGGCAAGGAGCCGGGAAGGGGCGGGTGCAGCCAGACAGGTTGGTGTCGGCGGGGGCGGCGGAGAATAGCCTCTCCCTCGCCTGCCTATTAAAAGCGCCGGGGATTGTCAGGCACGGTAAAAAAGACAGGAAATCACGGCAAGAAATGAAGCTTCTTTTGCCAATTACCGGATGCCGAGTGCACACCTTGGAGCTCTTTGTCCTCTCGAGCACCAGTTCCTTTTCTCTCGCCATCCTTTCCTGCCATTCCTCCCTCTCCTCTCTCTCGTTCTCTCGTTCTCTTTCTCCCTTACAGACGCATTAGCGTCAAGGCCCAAAGAAGAGCCACCGTTTTCCCTTTCTTTTCTCTTTCCCCCCCCCCCCGCGTCTTTTTCTTTGAGTCTGCTGGGGCTCACTTCTCGGCCGCCTTTTGTGGTTCCCTTTCAGGCATTGGGGTGGCGGGGCCGAGACCTCTCCACTCAACATTTATCTCCGCCTTTTGATTAGGCTTCATGAAAAGGGGAGTGACATCCGCACAAAGACGGAAGACACGGAGCATGTTGCCATCGGGATTAAAACGCGCTTAAGTTAATGCGGCCGGCGTCATAGCAGACAACGACAAAGCTCTTTTGTCTTATCAATAATTGAGCGCGCGCTCTGTCAGGTCATTGACTCGGGATGGATGGCCGCCATCGCGCCTCCTCTCACCAAAAGCCACGACTCCGGGGACCCGTAAACACCTCACAAACGGAGCTCTTTAGCCTAACAATTTGAGCATTTTTTTAAAATTCAATATTCTTTATATTTTGAATTTGATCAGATTCTTTTTTGGGGGGTAATATTATGAGGAGTCATTTTTTGTTGAGAATGAAGGAATGCATCTTAATTTGAGCAGGTTTTGTAAAAATAAGATCATGTGTTGAAATTTTCTGTGAATAAAGTTGCATTTTTTTCAAGAAAGTTATTTCACAATAATCAAGGTTTTTTTTTTTGTCTAATTGTGAATATTTATTTTTGTAGAGAAAAAACTAGTCTTACAAAACAAAAGTCGCCTCTTTGATAAAACACTTGTTTTTCTGGGGGGGGGATTATTCCCCCCCCCCCCCCCCCCCCCCATGCCACTCGCTATTGACTCGAAAGCTTTAATTACTTCTTAGTTAAAACAATAGCAAGACAGTTGATGTACACGGATAGCATTTCCTGAGCTGGAGCCAATCCTGAGGTGAGAAGCGGTATACACCCTGGACTGTTTACCAGGGGTCACCACCTTTTCGGGACTCGTGAGCTATTTCTTTGGTACTGAATCATGCGAAGGACGACCATTTTTATACTCACGTTTGAAGTTCCACACACACACGCACACACAAAAAAATGCTGGCTTGTTTTCTGTGGATTTTGTTAGCTGTGAATTTTGAGCAGGTTGGGTTCCTTTTAGCCGGAAAAAAAAAGGCGGGGTACACCCTGGACTGGTCGCCAGTTAATCGCAAGGCACATGCAGACAAACAAGCATTCACGCTCACATTCACACCTGTGGAGAGTTTCGTCTTCTACAAACTCACATGCATGTTTAGCAACCGCGTCGCCCGTTCCTCCCCCCCGTCATAAATGACGATGGAAATGCAAACAATCCATCTTCAAGGATGGCCTTTTGCCGTTTATTTTGTCAAGCCTGGATTTGCACCCGGGACACCTCGACTGCAGGGCAGACATGCTCACCACTTTTTTTTTTTGCACGGCTTGCTGTCGCGATAGCTGTCGGTAATGGCGTCGTTAAAGAAGATATAGCTGGCAAATTAGAGGTTCGGCCGGCATATTTTGAGCAGGGGTGGGGGGGCCTTCAATATCCATTCTCGCGTTCATAGGCCGCCCGCTTGTTCCGGCTTTGCTCTTATCAAGACACATGAGGATATTATTATGTAGGATTACTCATTTTGGAGGGGTTTAACTCCGTCAAGAGAAGCCCCCCCACTCCACCACCACCCCTGCCACCAGTCCCTGACATATTCCCGGCCTCATCTGTCATTGGCACCGGCAGGCGGCTGCGGCGGACACTTTTTAAATGACCTCATGTTTTGCCACAAGCGCTGTTGTGACGCTAAGAAGATTTTCATTCCATTTTTGCCTTTCATATTTCAAATTCCGCCTTCCCTGCGTGAGTATTTTTAATGGTTGGAGGGATTTTTGTCTTAATGTCAGACAAGTTGGTGTGTGTGCGTACGCGTGTGTGTGGCCGCCAGCCATTTGCAAGGTTAATGTAGTAGAAAACAACATCCATCTCGCCCCTAAACACTTTCATTAGGCCCACATCGCGCCTCCTCTTGCAATGTTGTCAGCTGTGACGTGCATCATATTATCGGCGAGTGACGCGATCAATAAAATCTCAATGTCGCACACCGTCGCGCACACTGAACGATGGCCTCACGTCTGCGTGTGTGCGCGCACACGGTCCCATTCGTCCCTGCCGCGTTGTAATAAATGCCGCAGATGACCGGAGGCGATGGTCGTTAATAATAATAATAATATTAACAAATTGCATGTTGAAGGCGTTTTTAGACGACTTTGTTTGCTTCTGACACGTTGAGCGAACACTTGGCGGATTACACAAATGTCCAACTGCATCACTTTAAAGACGTTCCAGCTCGCCGACTGTTTAAACTTTGCTCAGGCTGGATTGACGCTGCGTGGTTCAAGTGTCACGACTCCGATTTTTTTTGTTGTTGTCGTTTATTTTTAATCTCAAGTGGCACAATTTGCATTTGCGTCATGGCGGCGCAAATAGAAGAAAAAAAAATCTTCAAAAGCTGCATCAAAATCTGAAATTCTCGGATTTGGCATTTGCTAATGCAGCGTGAATGCACACATCAAAAACTGTCACCAATGTGAGCTTGATGTCCTGAAAATACGCCGATTGGTGACATACAAGCAATACGAATGAACATGCTGAAAATCACCCACTGACACTCGAAACGATAACGAAAGCGTTGACAATTTCAAAAGGTGCAAAACTGCACATCTTGAACACTTTCACCATCACCATTGGTGATTGATGGTGGACAAGCCAACAGAGTTGTAATAAAACAACCAGTGGCTAATCCACAGGTTTACTGTGAATGCGGCTTTCAATTGTGGCCCCGTCAGTGCAAATGCAATTGCGCATTAAAGTCAATGAATGCCCAACTTTGGCGGAGTGATACGTATTATTTGCACACAGTGTCGGCGAGAAGACTATCTTTAGGACCTCTTCATCAACCCCGTGACCCCGTAAGTACGCGGTGCATCTCGTAGAGAGGGAGGGTGCGCTTACGCCAACTTCAAAAAGCAAAGAGGCGGACCTGATAATTTCCAAATGGAGTGGCGCTGGTAGGGGAGTCCATAAAAGCCTGCCTTGTTCTCGGCACACCTCCTCTTTGCTTCACAACAGCCAGTTAGGCTAATAGCTGGTGGGAGAAAGAGGGGTGAGGCAGCGAGAGGGGGGGAAAAAAACGGGTAATTACTGGTAATCACTCGTCAGGGAAGAGCTGATGATCACTACAGTATAACAGCTTGTACTGTTCCCTGTTGGAAAACAGTGAGAGGGGGCGGGCGATGGGGGGTGGTGGGGACCGGATGTCGTCCTCTCGGCAGGTAACAACCGCGAAATTAGTCGGTAACCTTAAACCCCCTCCGCAATCATGGAGAAAACTCTCCTCCCGGCTGCCTCTGCTCCCCGCCGCTCTTTTCTCCCGCTCCGAGTTATACGAATCTCAACATTCGGCTCGCCGAGGACTGCGGGTCCTTTATTATACGGCAATCTTGTCGATTCGGATTGGACGTGAAGTAGCTGCGGTTCAACAAGGAGACAGGGTGACGCAAACAGGAACGCCAGAGAGGGGACGCCGACGAGTCCCTCACGCTCGATTTGAAGCTGCGGCACGTCGCCGTTGTTTACTTCTACAAATACAGACGCACCTTGACTTACACGTTTAATTCATTCCGTCACCAAGCTTGCTTGATTCTGAGTTTACTCACACAAGGAATCCTTATTCCTTACGGCTCACAAGGATCGCGGGGCGTGCTGGAACCATGCTAGCAGTCTTCGGGCATTAGGCGGGGGACACCCTGAACCGGTCTCCAGACAATCAAAGGGCACACAGAAAAGCATCTGCTTCTTCGGGCATTAGGCGGAGGACACCCTGAACCGGTCTCCAGACAATCACAGGGCACGCAGAAAAGCATCCGCTCTCACACTCACGTCTAGGGACAATTTAGTGTGTTCAATTAGCCATGCCACGCATGTTTTTGGAATGCGGGAGGAAACCGGAGTACCCGGACAAAACCCACGCAAACAGCAAGGCCAGAGCTGGAATTGAACCTCTGCAGTGTGAGGTCGATGCACTAACCACTCGACCACCGGCTGCTCCTGTCGAAACCGATTAATAAAAAAAATAATAATTGAACCTCTGCACTGTGAGGTTGATGCGCTAACCACTCAAACGCCGGGCCGCTCCTGTCGAAACCGATTAATAAAAAAAAAAAAATAATACCGTATCGCTCGTGTATTCATCTCACTCGATTGTGCAGGTGCTCCGGTGGATCTACGTGGCATCACTATTGGCTCATTGTAACGCACATGAATAATTTGCCATCGATAGCGAGGCCTATCGATCTGGAGAGTGGCTTTTCCTGTAGCTTCTGTGGGGCCAAGAGAGCGACTCTTGGAAGGGTGTGC